GTGTGGATTCTTTCAAGCAATCATCATCCTGATGCACGTACCATTGATGCTGACCCTATTATCAAAGAATATCTACGACGAAACCGCCGGACCAAGTGGACTGCGAAAAAACTCAGTTCTCAAGCATTTGAAGCACTTCAAAAACTTGGGATCCTTGGCCCAGACAAAACTTCTGCATCCACTTTTGAAGTTGCTAAAAGCCTTGTCATTTCTAACAAGCCACATAGTACATACAGCAAAAATCCTGGAAACAGCTATATATCATACTCTTTGGATTCATGTAACAGGGTTGGTAATATCACAGACATTGTCAAGCTTCCTGATGTCACCCAGCCAGTTCTAGTTGTCAGATCTCTGAAGTTTCTCAATACTGAAGACAAGCACAAGGACCCCTATGATTCCTTGCCAAGATTGCTTAATGCATCAGTTATATATGATTTGCGTGAGGATTATCATGTTGTTCCATGTCACAAGGTGATTGGCCAGCTTGTTGTACAACATAACACGGCAGGTACATTCGATATTGCTTGCCCAACACTTTCAATAGTGCAGCTCAACAATCTGGTGAGTTCCTGAGATTATCACTGCGCTGAATAGAGTCACCATGGAGAAGTCTCCTGATCCATTTTTCAACTTTCCAGGGCTTCGTGCAGGAACTTAATCTGGAAGACGATGCCATGGATATTGAATAACCATGAGAGCAAGAAGATGTTTTGATGTGGCCTCAATGTAAAAGTTCTCCTTTTCCACTTTTTCTGGGTTCAAAACATTTTCATTCCTTTATTATCTCCAAAAATTCGTGAATCTCATTCATGAACTGTGTTGGGTTGAATCTGTTCATCAATTTTTGTTTTTGATACCCGGTATGTACACAAAGCATATCAAAAAAATAATGTGAAGCTATCAATATTTCACAAAGTAAGAGGAAAGGAAACACTTGTCATTTTTGGTTTTGAGCTTTTGTTTTAACAACTCTGTTCATCAGAATTATTAAGGATCATGAGCCCTTGATTCCATCAAGCTACCCTGCTATTACAACATGGTTTGTAATTGAGTTGGAAATATGACTCCATTACAAGAGGTGACTGGATATTAAGAAAGGATATCTGATGAGTTCAAACTTTGCTGCATAAGAAGTTCTCAGAATGCAATTTACCATCCTGAGCAATTTAAAAGAAGCCGTTGGAAGTTTTGGAAGATCAATTTACATCTGCAGCTATACTACTGAACTAGCTGCAGGTGCATCTGCAGCTCATGCATATCCCCCACTCAAACTGAACCTGAGGTCGATTTGATATTGAATTGAGATTGAATTGAGATTGTTTTGAGGTTGTTTTGAGGTGAATCGTACTCACTGGCCTGCCAGTGAGTAGTAAAATGTCACTGTGATCGTTCTTTTTATATAATCGTTTCATCTTTTAATTTTTAAACTTTTCTCTCTAGTGTCTTTCCCAAATTTATTCAACTCGCTCGACCTCGCCAACCACGGCACTCCTCAACAACAGCCTACTGGAGCGAACCAGACTCACCAATCCACCCCTGCCTTACAGGACCCTAACTTCGACGGCTCTGTTCTAGAGTTCGAAGACGCCTACGGAAATACATCGCAAGAACCCATCCTGATCGATTCGACGACCACTACGCCAGCACCTGACCCTTTAGCGAATATAGAGATTGATTCTCCAGGATCTGAAGGAACCGCACGAGAACCCTTCCGAGCTGAAGGATCACCACCAGAAAACCTAATCGCTCATCATCAGAGTAAGTAATCAAAAAAAAAATTCAGTGTTTTTGATTCAACCAAAACGAGAAGTTGTTATACAGTCAAACCAGAAAAGCTTGTCACAAATTCCCCGCCAAATTGATCGAGTTTTGCGGGCAAAATCGGTCAAGCTTTTCCGATTTGACTGTAGTTATATAGTATAACGTTCTTTTTTTAATTTGTTAGCCAACAACAGTACTAATCCTAGTGGATCTAACCAAGGACAAGCTGCCCAAACGTACCGTAAGTCAAACTCAAAACCGAGTCAGATTTTTTATCTTAAATTTTTTTTCTATTCCCATTGGTCCTATAGCGCGAAACAACCAAGCTTCCGGAGCCCCAGCCCACAACCAAGGACAAGGACCCCAAGTACAGCGTGAGTTGAAATCAAAATCTACTGTCATCTTGACTTCACCAATTGAAAGATCATTTCGTTTATCGTTATTTTTTACTACATTTTTTCTCCCCTAATCAAACATCTATTCTATCAGAACCAGGTAATCAAACCCGAGGATACCATCAACAACGTAAGCGACAAAACCATTATTGAATATTAAATCTTTTTTTTTAATAACTAAAACCATTGTATTGCTACAAATTTTTCCAATTTAATTTTTTTTTTTCTTTCCTTCTCATTTAGAACAAGGACAATCAGGTCATCGTACGTCTATCTTTTTATTATTACTAAATTTTTCCCTTGTCAACACTAAACACAAAGAAAACTAACATTCTCATTTTTGTTACTTCCTTCTTCATCTTGATTCCGAATTTCATTTTTTTAAATTCTGTTTTTCTTTTTGTTAATCGAAACGATTCAATCGCAACATGTCTAGCAGAGCAAGCTCAACCAGTGCTCGAGGCTCAACGAGATCAAAACGATCCATCGAACCAAGCTCACGAGGCACGAGAGGAACCCCAGTGGGGGAATTATTCCAGCCACTACCACCCTCAGGTAAGCCAGACCCTAAGCTAGTAGACAAGCTTGCAAGAGAAAATGATGTTAATAAAAAAATTGCTTTCTTAACATCTGAAGACCCAACAACAACAAGCCGGTTATTACTACCAACCGAACTATCCGGCCCATCTGCCTGCCCCAGTAGCCCAACACCCGCCTGTCCCAGCCGCTCACTACCAACCTCATCCGAACCACCATCCACACCCGTCGTCTGTTCAACGACCACACCAACCCATGCCGAGTACCAGCAACCCCAACTTGCCTCCACCTCCTCCAGCTGCACTGTCTTACCAGCAGACAAGAGACCTGGAGGAAGGACGACTTCGCCAAGCGATCGCCGACCTCAGACGAGACCTGGAGGAAGCGAGAGTTGCAGGCAACAACTCTCGCTTCAGGCAAGTGTTAGGTGTAGCGAAGGAGACTCACAAGGAGCTAGAGGAATTCTTGGGAGGCAGACGCTATCGCCAGAGGGTCAAGGAGATAGCGGGCTACAATCCCTATCGCATCAACCCTCAGACAATGCTGGAGTTCGATCAACCGAGAGTGGAAGCAGGACCCTCGAGCCAACGTCGCAAGCGAGCGCGCGACGAGGAAATCGAGGAGCTAGCCGAGACGTCATCAAACCTTTTGGATATGATGCTTATGGTAAAGAGGATGAAACAAGACGAGAAGAAGGAATCCAAAGGCAAGGGGAAGGAGAAAGAACAGTAAGTATTCTTCCTCCTCCCACTTCTTCTTTTCACTCACATCCATCAATTCTTTATGCTGAGACACCCTTTACTGGACCACCTCTAGATAATTCTCCCAACCTGTTATCCCCTTCTCTTGCATCTATCAAGTCAGAAGAGGATCAGTTGGACCAATTGAACAATCAAGGACTGTTCAACCAGTCGTATTTAGTTTCAAACACAAATTCTAAAGTTTCC